ATATGGGCCCCGAGGAGAAGATCATCGTGTTCTTCGGACGGAAGGCCAAGGCCAGCCAGCTGTCCATCGACTACGGTCAGTATAACCCGGTAGATGTGCGGGCCAGGCGCGCTAAACCGGCTGGCAGTGATGGGAATTCGGATTAGACATACAGGATCTTTTTTTCTTCCTTTTTATGCATTTTCAAGTTATGTATTTTGTTAATTCGGGTGTTGACTGTAGCCAGATCTGCGTTTATTCTCCGGTGTCCACGCTCCATAGTCCATATCCTGTCATTGACCGTCATTTAAATTTTGATAACTCTAACCTATCCGTCTACCTGGTCACTCGTCGAAAACGGATCCCAATATTTTAGTCCACGTCCATTCCCCTTCCCCCCCCCCATAAACCTCGTTCCACCCCCTCCCCTCCTCAACAACCCTAATCACCCGTCTAAAACCCGCTCCCACTACTACTACCCCTGATCCAGTCCGACAAGCTAATTCCCCTGGGCTGGTCCGACTGTATTATAACCCAGCTCTGCCGCCGCCCCTGCCTCCAGGTGTGAATGGCATCGACCTACAGTCGATCCACGGCGACCGGCCTCAGGAGGAGCGCGAAATCGCCATCGAAGACATGCAGACCGGATCGTGCCGCGTGCTGTTCGCCACAGACGTGGCGTCGCGCGGCATCGACATCCCGGATGTCACGTACGTAACTGAGAGGGGTGTGTCACGCAGTCGAAATAAGAGTGACACGGAGTTGTATTAATAAGTGTCACAAGGAGTTACGGCTAGACGGGGAGCGTTATGGTCGATGTTGTTCGGTGGAGGCGGTTGTGATGGTTGTAATGTTTATAGTTTCGCACAGGATGTGTTCCATTATCTGCGGCCTGGTGGAGGCTAGCGTGCGCTATGAGCGATAAGTCATGTGCTAGCATTTAGATCACAAGCTAGTTAGGTGTCATGGGTATTCGGATGTCATGGTAGGTATATCTCTTATCCAGACAACAGACTGGTGACATTCGACCACTTCCCCTCTCGGCAGACTCATCATCAACTTCGACTTCCCCCGTGAGATCGAGGACTACGTACACCGGGTGGGCCGGACAGGCCGCGCCGGCAAGTCGGGACGCGCCGTCACCCTGATGGTGCGCGAGGATTGGAGGCACGCTGCCGAGCTCATCGACATCCTGCAGAAAAACCAGGCGGTGAGCGACCCAGCACGAGATGGTGCAGTTGGAGGGAAGATTCAGATTCAGATTCAGATTTATTCAAAAGAAGTCCACTCACCATGGCTTTTCACTCTTTCACGTCAGTTACAAGTACAAAAAGGACGAATTTAGGCCACATTCACGTTCCACACGCATACCACTCATACATCAACTCACTCCGATCATCACTGAGGATCGACAGATCCGACGACCGCTCTGACAGCTCTACGGAACCCGGGCTCACAGGGATCTGCCCCTATACCGTTGAGCAGTGTCACGCCACGGTAACACATTCTCCGCCTACCGGATTCAGTGCGTATGTTGGGGCGGCTGAATAGATCGGCTTGTCTCGTTCTGTAGGTGTGCCTTTGGCTCGATCTCGGTCCAATAGTTCCACATAGGTACTCAGGCTGCTGGGTCACGATGACACTCGCCAGCGCACACGCGGTGTGGTAGTCGATCAGCTGCTCTACCTTGAGCCAACGGAGCCGCTGTATCTCACCGCTAATATGGTCGAAACGGCGCTTCCCTGTCACTACACGGGCACAGAAGTTGACAATCTTCTGTACACGGTCGCGCTGGGTGACTCCGCATGAGCCGTAGACGGATAGGCAGTATCGAACCACGGACAGGACGAGTGCCTCAACAATCACCTTCAGCGTCTGTTTTGGCATGACATGGCGCGCATGAGATAACCCTATCAATATGCCTGTACACTTTCTTGTGATGTATGTCACATGTGTCTCAAAGCTGAGGTGGCGATCAATGAACACACCGAGGTTTTTAACCTCTCTCGAGTCGGCTATAACATTGCCACAGAAGCGAACAACAACAGGCGGCAGCGTACGGAGCTTCGCGGGTGTTCCCAGCACAACCATCTGTGTCTTCTTGGTGTTCAACTTCATCCCGTTGTGACAGAACCAGTTGTACACATAGCTGAGTGCGTGTTCCATGCTGCTGATGATTCTCTGGATGTCACGCTTGCTGCCGGATACTAATAGCTGCGTATCGTCGGCATATTGTACAGTAGTGACGTCACTCGGCAGTCCAAGGCTCAAATCATTCGCAAACAGCATGTACATGATACAGCTAAGTGCACCGCCCTGGAACACACCGATGGTATTCTCCCTAGTACTAGATAGCTGATGCCGTCCCCCAATAGAGCTCACGCGGACTTGCTGGGTATGGCCGTACAAATAGCTTCGGAACCAGTCCGTATCAATGCCGTACAGGGTGAGCTTCGCTAACAGTGTGGCATGCGGCACAACATCGAAACATTTCGATAGATCGAGCAAAACTAGCACAGATATTTCGCCTCTATCCATGGCACAGAGTACTCGATCGGTAACGACGTGGAGTGCTGTCTCGGTCGACCGACACTTGCGATAACCGTGCTGGGCGTCCGCGAGAAGTGCATGCTGCTCTAAATAACCGGACAACTGACACTGGACTACGCGTCCTACTATCTTCATAATGGCCGGCAGCAGCGAAATAGGCCTCGTATCAGAAGGGTCGGCAGAGATTTTACCCTTTGGGATAGGAGTAACAAGTGCGTGTTTCCAACCACTAGGGACACAGCCGGATGAAAGACTGGAGTTAACTACATCAAGCAACGTGTGACTCAGTCCGGTGAAACACCTCTGCAACATGTGCACACTTATACCGTCGAGTCCGGTCGAGCTGGACGGCTTCATGCTCATCAGTGCAGAGTACAGTTCATCCATGCTAACTGGCCCGACACGGAAACTGCATGTTAGCACTCTGGGTAGCACTGTAGTTACAGGCGTCGCGGGCGCAGGTACGCTGGCAGAAGTGCTTGGACCGACAGTTACGTAATAGAAGGGTTTGGTGCGGCGGTCTCGTGGGTACTCACCACTCACGGTCAGTTTTATGGCCGAGTACTATGAAATATAGGGCATGTTTGTTCGTGAAATAGTGTCACAATGTTCGTGAGTCACGAGTTACGAGCGTTTGGTCCTGCACGACGAGTCAACAAAAATAAACAGACGGGCTCCCAGGTGCAATTGTTATATCGATCAATAACTGTGTTTAACAGCCCGGGAGCCGGTGGTGTGTTCAGCTCGATCTCACTGCGCTCGTTGTCTCGCTGCTCTCTGCCGGACCGCGCTGACGCCCTGTATCCGTCCTCAGGAGGTACCCGAGTGGCTGCAGGGCATGGCCGACCGGTTCGGCCGCATGAAGGAGCGCCGAGAGGCCGAGGGCGGCGGCGACCGGCGCGGGCGCGGCGGGTTCGGCGGCCGCTCCGGTGGAGGCCGGTCGGGCGGCAGGGACCGGCGCGGCGGCGGCATGTTCTAGGCGGCGCCGCGAGCGAGCCGGGCTTTCATAATAGGCCGATCTTGAATTCCACGCGCAGGGATTGGGAGAATGCTCGTGATGGTGTGTACAATGAGATTCGATTGTTTTTTATTACATGTGATGAGCGTTCCTATGTGAGCCTCGCAAGCCAAGAATACATGTTACTTGTTTTTTACTCTGTGCCATGCGTGCTTGACGGGGGTGGCCAATGGAATATCGATAGGTACTACATAATTACAGACCGGATAGGTTATCTCACAGTAAGGGTGGTGTTCTGAATGTTCCTACGCCACCATCTCGCATTGTGGCTGCTAGTCAGAGATGAGAATAGTCATTTCCTCTCGTCGTCCCCGGTTCTATGAAGGACTCCCGCCTTAGAAGGGGTTTGTAGTCTCCTCGTCAGGGGTCATTTTATAGCCAGGACGGCGTAGGTGCGCTTGACTCACAAGGGCACGAATGGAACCATTAATTTATCGTGGCCGCTCTGCGCTATGGGTCACGATCACGACTGACCCGGGCGACATTTCACGGGGCCGCCCAGGTCGACATTTGACGTATGTAGCCGACTGAAGTGAGACATACTGTACTGTGACATGAGCACATGGACCGATCGCACGGTAGCCCGTTGGGAAGGATTGCTGACGATCACGAGCGGGCTCGTTATGTGAGGTCAGGTCACGGCAGGGGTGTTATTGGCTACCTGATTCGGTGCATGGGTCGACCACGACCGCCGAGTTACAACAGGGTCATGGTAGTACCGTACGCCCGAGACGCATCACGTCAAAGATTCTGATCGGTATCCTGAACACGGATACCCTATTCTCGATTTTCGGAACCTGTGACATAATTAGGTCAATTTTGAAACCTTCAGCAATCACTTAACTATTTCATGCGATTCATTTATTATGTTCGCAGTCGCATTACACGTGCTTATTGAGTGCTTGATAGTTCACCAACAACCAGACGTTATAGGCGTAAAGGTACGCATACGCATCGCATATACGCATCCTGAAAGTTTCACAAGTTCAGAAAGCCATAACAGAGAGTATCGTAAAGTCGGCAAGTAGGTACTGACGTCTTTTTCGATCAACTCCCTGATTGGGGCACTGCGCTGTCTAAAAGCAAATTACCTGTCTCTGTGATCTACCAAAGTAGTATTGAGAAGAAAAAATAGCCATGGGTCTTCCTTTTTCTCTTGCTGGTAACGTAATCTGTTTTCTTATTGAAGTATTTGACATGGAATCTATTGGGATCCAACAAGAACGATTTACCGGGTGTTTTTCGATCTCGTGTATGTGGCGGATCATTGTAGGCACTCATTTGTGCCCACTGGAATCAGATACCAGTCCCCTGTCCTGTTTGCTTGCCGGAGTCGAGAAACGCGTAGCCGGTGGGGTCACCCATAACTATTGGTCCTGTTTTGATATTGTCTCACGAGTCGTCTTCTGCCGTCGAGCAGCTGTATTGCATCCCCGCATAGCACATACACCACTGTTCTGTTGACGCAATTTATTGATCCGGTACCAAACTGCCATGACACGAGACTGCACAAAACCTTTGGTACGATGACAGAATCCGCAAGGAAGGGGCGAAGAGCGGTACCGGGAGGTCACCGGAAGGACGGGCCCGTGGGACGCCAGTGGTGATAAGAATTAAGATTAGAGCGCAACCCGTTTAGGAATGCGCTTATACGCATTTATATAAAATGGAACTACTCCACTGTGAATTAATGGCAAGTCAAAGTGCCATTCCCATGGTGGAAGTGTACACTAATTTTCAAGGGGTGATTTTTGTCAACCTATTTAGCCACACTAAATACACGCGCCAACCAGCGCATAGAGTTACACGGCTGTTCTAATAACATCTCGCTCAGGTGTTTGCCCCGCCCCTGTTTCACGGCACGCTGCTACTTGGTAATACCAGGGAGCGGCGCTCGGTTTTCATGGGAACGTAAGCAGCAAATTTTCCAACTTCGCTTACGTTTCCATGGAAATCGAGCTCCGATACCCAGTAGCAGCGGAGGTAGCGGCGTGCCGAGAAAAGGGCCCCGGTGTTTCTTGGGGCACCGATACGGAGTCCCCGCTCACGGGCAGGCCGGACAGCCGCCCTCGGGAGCCTCCAGGCGGTTCCCAAACACGGCCAGATCGGCCAGCTCCAGCGTGAGCTCCGGTCCGCGCCGGATGATCCGCACATACCGGCCGGTGACGGGCTCGTCACAGCGCAGCAGCCGGGCGTACAAGGCGGCCACAAACGGCTGGGCGCGCAGCACGCAGCGCGCCGAGTGGCGCTCGTCGAACAGCCGCCGGTCGCTGCCAACGCGCACCTCCGTGTCGCGCCCGACGGCGGCGCCGGACGCCAACAGCACGCTGGTCACCTGCACGGGGCCGCCCAGGTCGACGGTCCAGGTGAGCGGCGGTCCGTCGGTCAGGGTCATACTGGCCGCGCTGAGGAGGTCACCGTCGTTACCGTTGGCGGCCGCAGAGCCGGGCGACACCATGCTCATCCAGCTCAACTTGCCCAGAGCCAGGTTATCGCCCATGTACTGACAAAGCACCATGAAGGGCAGGTGGCACTCCACGTCGTTCAGAAACACGCCATCTCTAGAGGTGGTGACGCAGTCCTCGTTGTTGGCATTATTGGGCTCGATGGCTCCCCATCCAACAGAAGGCGCGTCTTCTCCGTCGCTGGTAACAAATGTACCCTCCACCAGCAAGTCATCCAGTCCGACATAGGACGGCTCCATCGTGCTAAATATTTCCGGCCAGGCAGCGTTCAGGTCATTGAGATGAGTCTGTGACACGCCTGGATACACAATGGCATTGTTGGCGAAACAGGTATGAGCCGCCTCCAGTCCCGTGGTGATGCCCACTCGGATCACTTGCTGGTCTTGCACGAGCCGGGCCGAGGCCGGGACCACGCCGTCAGGCCGCGGAAACTGCCAAACGAACGACAGCTCGTCGCCACCCGAACCGGCATCGGAGACGATGCCCTGAGCGTAGAGCAGGCAGCGGCCGTCGGAAGGCGAAAAGTCGCACGCCATGCAGGTCGTGTTGTCGGCGCACAGTCGCTTGCATTCGTCGACGTCGGCAGTGGCGGCCTCAGCCGTGGGTTCGGCCGAGAGCCGACCGTTGCCCACCGGCAGAAACCCGCCCGTCTTGGCGCACCGGTCTCCGTCGAGCTGGAACGGCGGGCGGCAGCGGCAGACGCCCGACAGACAGGCGCCGCCGGGCGTCACCGACCAGCACTCAGAGCCGAGCGTACACGGCTCGCCGAGCCGGCGGGCGCCGCCGCGCGCGTGCCAGTGCCACAGCGCCGCGCTCGGCTCCAGCCTCTCGGGCAGCGGCAGGACGTCGGTCAGCAGGCACAGGCCGGTGTCGAGGCTGTAGCCGTAGCCGAGGCAGGCCGGGTCGGCGCCGCAGAAGGCGCGGCACTCGCAGCCGCCGGCCGGCCGCGTCTCCAGCACGCTCGGCATCACGCCGTTCGCCGGATCCAGAGGCTGGAACGAAAAGAACGCCGGCGAGGCGCCGTTCGAGCGCGCCCCGCCGGTGGCCGTCAGAATCAGCAGCGGAAACAACATGGCACCGTTGTCGCCCAGCCGCGCCCCCAGCAGCGACTGAGCCCGCCGTCCACCACAACAGCCATCAGCCGCTGCGTGCCTTTGGGCATTGCACGGTAGATGTTGGTAGGAACGGCGGTGTATCGGGTGAATACTACGACTCGGTCTCAGTCTTAACCAGCAGTCACGGCATCGCCTCACGCTATTGCGCTGTTTCTTTAGCGAAGCAGGTCGTAATGCTGGCACCATAATTATTGTTTGGCTACTAAATAACAAATCTCTATTGTACCCAGTTACCGATCACATTCAAGGTAATGACTGCCAGAACCAGTTAAATACAACTACTTAGCTATTGAACCGGAGACCGGAGTCGTGGTCGCTGTTTGGGGTCCGGCCTCGAACGGTCACCGCGCACAGCGTGAGTCCTTACACGCTCACGTCCAATGGTGAACTCTGTATGATGACGTGGTCTACGGCAAGGACGCTGAGACGCATGATGCTCGCCTCCAAGCAGCGCTGAACCGCATGAAAGAAGTGGGCCTGAAACTCAACAGAGAGAAGTGCAAGTCAAGAATCGCTTGAGTTCCTTGGTCATGAGATAAGTAGACACGGAGTCAATACTCGTATCTCAGGCAAGAAAGTCGCCGCAGTGGAGTCGCTGCAAGCTCCAACAACAAGAAACAGTTCCAGTCAGCTCTCGGGATGATAAACAACCTAATCCGATTCATTCCAGGAGCCCAGACGATCCTGGCGCCACTGAACGTGCTGCTGAAGGACACGACAGCGTGGTGCTGGGATCAGAAACAAGAAGAGGCATTCACCCAGATCAAGAAGATGATCGTAGCGTGTCCCGTCCTGGCCTTCTTCGACGTGGACCTGCCGACCGTAGTGGCCGCCAACAGCAGCCACTACGGCCTGGGTGCCGTGCTCATGCAAGAGCATGGAAAAACGATGAAGCCAGTTGCATTCTGCTCCGGGATGCTGACTCCTACAGAACAAAGGTGGGCACAGATCGAGAAAGAGTGTCTGGCATCCGTGTGGGCAAGTGAAAAACTCCATTCATTTATATGCGGGCTGCAGTCATTCCGGCTACAAACAGACCACAAGCCACTCGTCCCTCTGATCAACCTGCACGAAACGCCACTCCGCTGCTCATGCGCCAGATGAGATACTCGCCAGTGGCAGAGCACGTTCCAGGACGTTTCCTGATGTTGTGGGACAGTGAGAGCAGCACTGCATCGTGAGACTGGGAGCAGACTGGGAGCAGCTCTGTTCCTCGGTTGCCCGCCTGATTCGTGGCGCAACCTGAGCGGCCCGCCGAGAAACAATCGTTAGGGCCTACCCGCCAGGCAGCGCTGCGCTCTCTGTGTGGGACTCTGTGTCCGTGCGGTCGCGTCTGTGTGAGCACCGTGCCATATTTAGCCTGAGTTTAGAAATCTACGTTTATCCAGCTACCAAGCGTTTTTAGAAGAAGCCGAATCGCTCGGACGAACTCAGGGCAGCAACATTCAGCGGTGGGATTGACCCGTTCGGAAGAATTCTGTGTGCGATCTTCTGCAGCGGAACGCCGACGGAAGCGGAAGCGGGAGCCATCTTGCAAGTTGTGAGAAACAAGAAACAGTGATTTGGTGATTCAGTTTTTGGCGCCCACTCCGGACTCGGGATCGATTACCGGGGGGATGACGTCGGAGCCGCGCCGTCTACGGTCCGGCGCGGCGATGGCCGAGTCGGGGGCCGGGTCGGAGCCGGACGCCGCCGCCGTCGACGTGGACCGGCTGGTGGACGCCGTCGTCGGCGGCAGGCATCGGGGCGGAGGCGGCTGCTCCAGTCGTCAAGGAGGAGGAGCCGGAGGTGGTAGAAGATGCGCCTACTTCTCCGTCACGGGCACAGCGGCAGCTGTGGCTGGCGGAGCTCCGCCGACAGCTGGGTGCTCCCGCCGCGACATTCGGCACCCGCGAGCAGGAGGAGGTCAGAGGTCTCCTGATCATCGGGGAAGGCGGCGGCCCGCCCCCGGACCATTCCCACTGGTTCTGGGGCCGTGTGCGGCTCTTCCTGATTGTCGCCCACGAGCGGCCGTGCGCGACGCTCGGTCGTCCGACATGGAGCGGCTGGGTGGGTATTCACCTGAGCCGAGATGTCGTCCAGCCGCCGGCCGCCGCGCGGCCTCAGCCGCCCCCGCCGCCGCCGCCGGCCTCTGCACCGGCCTCCAGGTGGCGTGGGCGCCCGTCCCGTCCGTCCGGCCTGCGAGTGCCGCCCAGGGGCGCCGCGCCGCCGGCCGCGTCGCGACGTTAGAATTCGGACGGCGCTGCGGGCGGTGGGGACGACGGTCTCGGCTCCCCTCTCCGGTCTCCTGCCGCCCGCAGACTCTCCGGCTCTGCCCACTGCTGGAGAGAGTACCTCGGCTGCCCTGCTGGGGTGTGGCGCCGCGGCCACAGATGGCGCTGCTGGTGGAGGTTCGTGCGGCGTCGACCTGGGGCTGCTGCCGCCGTCGTCGCCGTTGTTGCTGGTGCCGCCGCTGCCGCCGCTGCCGCCGAGCAAGGTGGCAGCACTGCTTCTACTCAAGACAGTAGGGATCGTAGAAACAGTAGACAGTCAGCTGAAAAAGTAAACAATCATGGCGCCGCCCATGGACGGAGATGCGGCCGGTGCCGGGGGCCGTCAGGTCCAGGTCGGAGGGACTGCTGGAGGTGGTGTGGTGATGGGCGTGCCTCAGTTTTACGCGCCGAACATTCCGATCCCTGTTTTTGACTACATAGAACCCGGTCCGTTTAGCAATCAGTTTCGGCGGTACGTGCGTGTGCTGAATTTGACCAATGTTCATGTGCACGACCAGTTGTGCTACGTGCTGGGGTCCAGTGCCAGGGCCAGGTGGCTCGCAGACCTGGTGGAGAGGGCTGTGGTGCCGACAGACTGTGTGGACTCTGCAGAGGTGGTGCGCCGGGTGGAGGTTGCTGTGCTGCAGGCCCTTCAGCCCGAGGTCTTGAAGAGTCAGCTGCTTCAGGGACTGGAGTTGAAGACCCTAAAGCCAGGACAGACGCCCAGAGACTTTGTTGAAGAAGTGCACGCACAGCTGATTGCAGTGATGCCTGAACTGACTCAGGAGAGTGTGAATCGGCTGTTGATTCCCCACACAGTGGAGGGTGCCCCAGTTGAGTGGCGCCAGAGGCTCCTGGAGGCTAACTACACCAGCGTGGACGAGCTCATCCACAAGATGACGCTGCTCCAGTCTGTGAGGGACCAGACAAGTGCTGCCAGGCGGGTGGCTGATGTTCGGCGAACCGGCCAGACCAGCGGCGTTGCTACTCTTGCAACAAGGTGGGACACATCGCCAGGGACTGCAGAACCAGACAAGGAGCTGGAGAGCAGACTTCGAGATGCTCCAAGTGTACGCTGCGGGGCCATGATGCTGGCTCCTGCCGTACTCAGTGCCGCAAGTGTCGTCAGACGGGTCACATTCAGGCGAACTGCCCAGAACACAGCAGCCAGCAGCGCCGAGTGGTGGTAGGCAAAAGCGTCCTCCTGGAAGTGAAAGTAAACGGTAAACAGACAGTGGGTGTTCTGGACAGTGGAGCAGAACAGACGCTAGTGAGTGGACAACTAGCTCAAGAAGCAGCATGGATGGTGACACCAAGCCACAGAAAGATTAAGGGTGTCAACAGTGGTCCAAGTGAGGTGAAAGGCTCAGTCCAAGTGGATGTGGTCGTAGAAGGAGGGGTGGTGAACCTCCAAGTGCTGGTAGCAGACATCCATGAGCCAGTCATTCTCGGAACTGATTTTCTCAGAGCAGCTGCAGTGACAGTAGACTTCAGTCGCGGGGTGGTGTCTGTGTGGGGACGCGCCATGCCTGAAATCTCAACTGTGTGCCGCTGTGTGGTCAGCGACAGCTTGCGAGAGCCAGAGGAGCTGTACATGGAAGAGGAGATGATCTGTCCAGGTGACAAGAAGAGGACAGAGGTGTACAACTTGGAGCACCTGAACCCAGTGGAGCAGAAAGCTGTACAAGAGGAGCTGGACAAGTATGATGTGTTCAGTACGGACGGAGCTCTGGGTGCTGTGACTGTGGTAGAGCACCGCATCGACCTCAAGGAAGAGCCTCGTCAGAAGAAGCCGTACCCAGTTCCTCCTGCACTGAGACCAGTCGTCGAGCAGCAGATAGAAGACATGCTGCAAAAGGGAGTGATCCGTGAGTGCTCCAGTCCCTACGCCACCCCCCGTGCTACTGGTGCAGAAGAAGGGAAGTGACCAGAGGGCGCCGCCACTGCCACAGAGCACGAGACCGAGACTGACCCGCCGCAGGTCGCGGAGGCCCCACAGCCAGCGAAGCCCAACGTCGTGCCACTCCGCGAGACTCAACAAGTGACCCGCTCAGGCCGGGTGTCGCAGCCCCTCACAGTCTCGACTTGTAAACCAGTCCAGAGATAGGGGGTCGCTATGGGTGTTGTATACCTATAACATGTATACCATGAGTCCCCTTTGCTGAATTTCTGAGAGACTTCAGGGAGATGTGTAAAATGTGTACAAGTGAACTCGTTCCAATTTGACGGACGCGCAGTGCGTAACCTTGAGCGGGAGCGCGTCCACGTTGTTGTTAGTTGTCGCTGTAGTGTTTCCTATTGCAGTAGTTTAGCGCCTTTCCAAGGCCATCACGTGACTCTATTTTGGGAAAAATACAGTCTACGTTCCACCTGGCTATTGTCTACATCAGATAACACTTCGCGTTTCACAAACACTACATTTTGGCGACTAGCACGAGATAAGTGCGGACTTAAGTGAATCGCGTGTCGCGAATATCTGTGTAACCTTTTTTGTGTTTCGGCCCGCGGTACGGCCATGAGCCGCGACAGTGGACCGCCCCTACCCGCGCCGTTTTTGCCCTGTGGTGCGCCTGCGTTATTCGTTATTCGTTGCCTCATCCCTTAGGATGATGTAACAACCACGTGTGTCGCCGGCCGGCACGGGAGTCACCGGGCCGGCGCAAACCGATTCGCGCGCCGACTTGTTGTGACGTCGCCCCCCCCCCCCCGGTGCTGGGGGCGGCCCAGGGCGCGCCAGTGAACCTTGCACCCTTTCACGAGGCGACCGCGTGTCTGCAGCCTGCAATGCAGCAGTCTGCTGACCAATCCGCGCTCGATCCGCCGCCACGTTGTCTCCGAGTGTTTCTGCGCATGTCTGGGGCCCGGCCCGCTGCGTCGGGCCGCGCGCTCCTCCGACATTCTAGGCCGAGCTCTTGACCCGAGCAGACGCGTCACGTCTGGTTCCGTTAGGCCCGTTCTGTTCGGGACTTAGAACTTTTAGATTAGGCAGGGCATACTTGGCAAACTTGGATTCCATTCTCGTCTTTTCGTTACTCCACTGCATGATTCGTTGTTTCGGTTTTTGCCTTCGTTTTGGAACTTAAAATATAACAACCCGCTCTTCGTAATCGTGGAACGTTTCAGGTTCCGACAGCGAGCCCAGGCCTGCAGCAGACTTTATTGCTGCTCTGCGCGGCCTGGCTCGTACCTGCCAGTTCGGTCCAATGGAGTTGGAAATCATCCGGG